TTGGAACGACATCATTCTATGGTGGGACATTTCACTGATGCCGTTCTTGGTGCGGCCTCATTGCAAACTCGGAAGTCGGAGGGCCCGCCACGACCTTGAGCCTTGGAATGCCGACTGTGCCATCGTGGTACGTGATCGTAAGCCGGCACTGGCGAGGCTTCATGTTGCCCATCATCGCAAATTTGATCATTTGTTAAAGAATCCGTGCCAGAGATAGATTTGTCCTACGAGAATGGCGAAAGGAGCGACGAATCAGAGGAAGGTCTCCCCCACCTACTAATCTTGCTCACACCCATCCAGTGTGGTTTAAGAAGACACGTGTCAACCATGGACCGCCTACACTCTAGCTCCACAGATCTCCACATATTTCTTGCTGCAACATCTTGTGTACTTTTTTTTATATTAAGGAAGCTTCGCCACCACCCGGAGGTACGGAGTCCTACTAACCCTGCAACCTGCAAACCTGTTTTTATACAATTAGAGACTATAACGAGCATAAAAAAGGAAGTAATATTTTAACAATAATATTTAGTGTATTTTTTACTGTAAATTATAATCAAACTAACAAGAATTGTACCTGTACTCAGAAGTTGTTCTGGGTTAGTGACCCCCATCTCGGTCCGTTTTTTCGACCAATTTCCCTGATCCTTTGAGTGAATGCTGCGATGGCCCCTTGTTTTGCTTCTGGACATATATGTAACTTCACTATCTGTGCACGTCTTCTAAGAGTTCTGTGGGAAATATAGTTATTCAAATAATTGTTCTCCATGTTGACACGGCAGGAAGTGGATTTCTTCACGAAGGGCACAATGAGCCCAAATCTGGAGCTGGTTTGCCCCTTGCAAATAGTTTTTATTCACCGGAGCGAATTTTTTCTTAGCAATTCTTGCCACAAAAATACGCTTATTTTTTTCCGTATTCAGAATTCTACGTGTATATCGTTTAGGCTAGGGATCTCAGAATTAAGAAAACGTGCACAATATACAGTTCTCCCCCTTCACGCCACACGGTTTTGAACTGTTTTTGACCATAAATAAAGAAATATATAAATAAATAGGTTCTTGGAGACTAAGGGACGACTCTCATTGTCCTTGGATAGTTTTCCGTCGTCTTCCCGGGGCCACCTTGGTCATAAGATATCGTCGAGTCATTAGATCGAAAACGGGGACTCCAAAGTAATCAATTCTGAGTGTTACTGTTTGCCATTACTATCAACGGTGTAGGGTCAAACACCTGTGAGAGTATCGCTCTGAGTCGACGACTTCGCAATTATTTACTCTCCCAGGAACATACAAGTTGAGGCAATCGCAACTTGCTTTTAAACGATTGAAGGGATGGAGTGATGAAACTTAATTTGTTTTCCGTCTCTAAATCTAGCTGCCTGCATTTCTGCACAATTAATCACCTCCATAACCACTCAGATCCTTCCTTGGGAGCCACCAAATTCATTGAGTCGTATGCGCACTTTTCGTCGGCTTTGCATAAGCACGGGCCTTTGGCGCAAACACACACGACACTCCAAACAATTTAAGTATTTTACTGTAATCATTTAAAATTGCGTCGCGCACCATCACTATTAACGACCAACGTTTGAGCCGCACTGTTTGATTTCTTTATTTATTGTTAGGCTGCATTGAACATACTTGTGGAGGCTACAAATGGGTTTGGAAGTTACTAGACTTAAAAGATCTATACGGCACTTGGAAGTCCATGAGCTCTTTCCCCCTCTTGTTTTGGTGCGTGCAACGGTGCCAATGTTATTGCGTCGCCGCCGTGCCCCGCGCTGAAGGAGCCATACTCGCTAAAGCATTCTGAAAAGCTACCCCCTGCCTTTTTTCAGATTTCTTCTGTGCTTCAAAACATCAGTTATTGAGATGTATTAACATTTGCATGCGCAAGCATCTCGCACCCGGAGGCGTAGCTGCCCACGATTGCTTTTCAAAGTTGTTGGTTTTAGAAATCCGCGGCGCGTGCTTTTTGCGTGTGAAAGTTTTTCTTTAACATTTTCGTTAGGACAGAGTACGTTTCACGAAGATATATATCATTAGTGCCATTTTCAGTAAAACTAATAATTTAAAAAATGATAAATATGGTTGCAATGGTTTATTTCAGAAGCCCGCCAAACACCAAAAATCTGAAAAAACCGTTAGCGTCGGAATATTGATTTATGAGGATAATCGTTTAATGCATGAATCAACCAAGTACAACTCTCGCAATATAGTCTGAAGGACTCAAAAAAATTGTGTTTAGAACAGAAACCCCCAACGCGGCGTTAATTGACGGGTTTCTGCTTTAAACCAAAAGGAAATTTCCTTTTAACCCTGCAGTAGTCGTATGCGGACATAAGTACGAATGTCCGCGTGAATAATTATTCAGTATAATCATTAAACCAATAATTACAATTGTAATCCAAGCTATGTTATTTTGAAGGGTTATCAGCACCTCCCCACGGAACAGTTGCAGGAATTGTCGCTGTGATACCTATCAGCATTTCTAAAAATAGGGACGTTGTCGTTCTCGGTTTTTAAGTATTTATAATAAACAATTGAATTGTCAGTGTGTTGGTCTCAAGATAATGCGCTCTTGAGTTCAAATCCTAGCCCCAGCAAATATTTTTCTTAACCATTACAAATAATACCATTAACTATGTGTTGTAACACTAGTTTCAAAACTGCCGCATCTCCTTGCGTGTGTGAACAACAGTGGAGCCTAAACCATACCCAGGATCTTCCCATAAATAAATATTTACTGATCAATCTAGCCAAACTCAAGACTCTGCGAATTTGAAACAGATCTTTTAATGTTCGGGTGTACTTTTCATTAATGCCTTACGTCATTTTAAAATGTTTCTTTAAAATTATGACAAATGTTTTCATTGATAGAGATCAAAGAACTAACAAGAACAATGTTCATTAAATCATCTGAAGTTTCAAAAATTGCACAATATTGACACAATTCGTCACAGTTTTTAATATATTTTAGATATGAACATGGGTGCTCAAGTACACAATATAAAGGAACATCATTCTCAACATCGTTTTATAATACACTTGGCACATCATTATTTTCAAAGCTGTAGGAGTTTCATAGCTTGAATTCCGTGTATTGTCCTCATCTAGATTTTATCTTATTCCCTTCCCTATACACACTTGTATTATTTTGACCCTTATAAAATGTTAGAAGTTATAAAACTCTCATTCATACTAAGTTTTACTATTGTGAAAATGACTTGAATCTGTAAAGTGATTCTAATCTTTTCAATAGGGATTGAATAAACAAGAGTATTAATTGCTAATAATTTCTCATGGTTAAAATGATATGAATTTGCTGTAATACTATTTCAAATTAATTTATTTAATGGTCGTTTGTTTACGAAGGTTTATGACATAGTAAATTTTTTCGTATCTTTGCTTCTTCACCATCGGAGATGAAGACCACCTCAAAAAAACTGATCCCATTTGTTATAGTTGAGATAAACTTTGACAAAAGAAATTTAGAATTCCTACTTTGCCTTTGGCAGTTGCTTTACATTGAAGATCTTTAAAGATCGTTGTAAACAACTATATGTAAAGATCATTACATATAGTTCACTACTGCTTCCAAGAATTTGGCGTTCATCAATTTGTATGAAAGATGCAGCAGGCAACAGAAAAGAGTTCTAAGAATCTATTTTCACATTGTAAATTCTTACTCTGATTTCTTTCGGTGACCCAAATCTTGTGTTAAAATATGTAATAACCTTCACTTTTTCCCTTCAGATTTGAGTTTTGGAGGTTTAGTTCATCTCCATTGTAATTGAAAACATACGCACCTTGATTCCATAACTATTGATTGAATGATTGCAATTAAGTCCTATCTCATAGTTTCCAAATTGAGAATTTCAGGATGAAATATAAGTTCTTAAGACTTTTTTATATGTCAATTACCTGATATTACAGTCACATTGTTCACATTAGGTTGTTTGAGAAAAAAACTGTCAAATCATGATAGATATTGAAATTCTTGCTTGATTTAATAATGTGGTTGGTATATTTGCAACTTTGCAACCAATAATGTTAACAAATAAATTAATAAATTGTTAAAAATGTTAATAAATACATATTTTGTTTATTACAGTGTTTTATGATAATCTGCATGTGTTTTTACATTGTTTTGATATGTTAGTTCCCTCAAAAAATAATGCATTAAGGTTTCCTCGTCACATTAATGAACAATTTTGAGCAAAAAGTATTTTCATTAATAAAAAAATACAGTGATATCTTAATCTTTATTGCATATTGAATACTTGCTCCATTTCCTGCACCAATTTGCAGAATGAAAAGAAAAGTCTGTTTTTTGTTTTGTTTTGTTTTGTTTTCCTTCAAAGAAACTGCTCTTAGAAATTTTGCTTCTCTTAGCAATTTGTGTCTCTGCCTGTGTAAAAATGCTGTTAGGAGGCTACCATTTCTAATATTTGTAGAATGATGGATATACATGTGTTAGTGCCCAATAGCAAATTTAATATTAAAATAATCTAACCATTCTTTTCTTGTTCAAGTTCTGCATATCAAATGCAAAGAAACTTTTTGCATCCTTAGAATATTTCTCTAAGGCACTGTGGGCATGAATGTTAAGTTGTGATCTTGCATGGGTTATGGTGGTTTGTTTCAAGTGACATTTTTCAATAACCTTTTTAAATATAGTTGCTAAAGATTTAGATCTAATAAGTTGCGTCTTCTTTCTCTAATATTGCTGATGTCGTGCAAGAGGTGGAGGAACACTAGTTCTTTCAGATAGGAGTAACCTTTTTTTAGAAAAACTATAAGTAGACTAGTGTTTGTCATAGTAGATATGTAGTTGGATGAGTAGTTGTAGTCTTCTATTCACGGCTTTGAATGGATGGGCGTGAAATGTTCTTTAAGTGCCTCTAATTTTTTGCAAATTACATGAAAGTGTGAGATTTATGTTGAGTAGTGTAGTTTATTAAGATTTAAGTATTTTATTTCAAGATTTCTTTTTAGATTGTCAGTTCGAGGGCAGCCAAAATTATTGAGAGAGTTGGAGAGCCCTGCAATGCGCAGAGGTGGTTTGAGAAGCAGTGGCCAGTTACCTCCAGGCAGTGATGAAGGTCTAAAAACCGAAAAACCATTAAATCATAGGTTACAGCCCAAGGACCGATATGGTATGTACAAAGCCATTTTAACTTGTACAATACCAGGCTTTTTAAGGGGAGCAGCATGAATTGTAGAAGTGTTTTGTAGAGACTATCAGAAAAATAAAATTATTCATTCAGTTTTGGCATACTCTCGTAATGTGACAAGTGATCATTTCAAAATGACTCGTGTGCATATTCCTAAAATTTTAGTATACTTGTAATTTATTCTTTCGGCTTTTTGTGCATGATCTCTCAAGCACTTGATTGCAGTGTATGGATAATATTTACTCACCTTTTAAAATTTGGCATATTCAGATGTTTTTGTCACATACTTTTAACCCTTCAACGCGGAATGCCGTCTGGAGACATGTTCCTTAGACCTCTATTCGCGGGCATAGGGTATCCTTCCATTGCCATCTGGTGTAGCGGTGCACTGAGCTGGCGACCTGCTCACCCGGCGACGCACACATCCCCATTCCATCACCGGCGTTGACTGCTACCGCATCTAACCTAGGCTCCGCGTTGAAGGGTTAATAATGGCCAAATAGGAATATCTCCGATAAACCTTATTTTATAATACTAATTTGATTTTTCTATCTTAACACTTTCCTGGAGGTACTCTTACTAATTGAGTAGGGCTTAAGTATAAAGAGCCCTCCACACGCACGGGATCCGTTCTCCTCGTCCTCACGAAGGCGAGCGTCCGAGCGCACCTCGGGGCGGCTGGTGAACGCCTGTTGTTGCCGGGAGACGTGTTCTGGTCTTAGCGCGAAAACCTGTTCGGAGTACGGCCCGCAAACCTGCAGCTAACGACGCATCCTCGTCGACACAAAAGCTACTCTCGTCCGGAAATACGGCGAGCAACGAATGGGAAGGGGCGAGAGATGACCTGAGATCTTACCGGACGAAGAGGTAAAACTGGAACTGGGCGCCCTTAGGTACCCGTGCAATACCATTCATGAACAAATAAAACTAACTTTTCCCCAGCGTGTGGGAGTCCTTTTCACGCTAATTGACTGCCTCGAACAGTAGTTCCCAACTGAACTTAGTCAAGAACCACGTTTCCATTCCAAATTTACCATAGACTGTTAAGACGCATTTTCACCAGTTGATGGCTAGATGGCTGATCTTTAATGATCTAGTGCTACAACAACACATATTTGCATGTATAAAGGTTACGTACTATTATAATATTGCTACTTGTATCCTACTAATACTTCAGCCAGTTCTTAAAAAACTCACGATAGCGGGAGATTCGAAAAAATACATTAATTATTAAAAACGCAAGTTTTAATGAAAAAAATAACTTCTGACATCGAATTTGCTGTATTGTGCTCTATAACAATGTCCAAGAAAAAAAGAACGAAAGAAAACGTTTTGTCCGGGCCGGCATTCGTACCCGAAATCTTTAATTCATGACAGCGCATTACCACTTGAGGTACTAGCACTACTCTGAAATGCATTATCACTTGGCAGCAAAAATGTATCTGAAATGATTTAAAGATCTTTTATTGTTGAACTCATTGCAATAAGAAAGAAACCATCGGCTTCAATATTGAACGTGTTGGACTGGTTTGAAAATGTTGCGCTTTTGCTATTGCCATATAATTGCCATATTGTTAAGAGATTTGCTCTTTGGAGCTGAAATTTTAAAGAAAAGATTCCAGCCGATTTTTAAGAAAATCTTGCTTTTTTAGTAATACTTTCTCACGTACCTCATACATACGTAGTAAAGAGAAAGTATTGTAATTGTGTGGAAAATTGGCAATTTTTCGACAGAAAAAAACAAGTTATTGTGGGTCCCTCTTGTCGGAAAAGAGGATAAATATTCCTATATGTGGTAAATTACTTCCGCTAACACGTTGTGTAGTCAGATTCCACGGTTTGTGTTTTTGATACCGAAAATTTGGTATAAGGCAAAACGTTTGTTGGTCCTTGTGCCTAAACAGTTCAAAGACGTGTGTACTAAATTTATATTCCTCGAACGATCTGGCAGGTATCGGGCATTTCAAACAGTTATTTTGATTTTTAGTTGGGGATAATTTATATAAAACCTCAAATTTTCTCAAAAATGGGTCCACATTTTTAAATACTTTTTTTTCTAGGAAAAAGCGAAGTCCGGCTATATCAATGGCGCAGGTCCCATTTTCGTTGAACTCTGAATTACGAACGTTCAGTTTTTTCTGCGTCTTACTACAATGTGCTGTTGAAGCACCGCTGATTTTTGTCATGATTTTACTCAAAATTATGTGAAAACTACTCATTAAAAATACATGATACTATTTAGAGATATAATTTTGAAGAACAGACAATACACAATTATACACATTGTATATACAACATTCACTACCCAAAATGTTTTTCTTTTGGCCATTTACCCATAATGGGATACCAAGAACATTGATAAAGTGATTGGGAATTTCGATGAATTACACATTTTGTTCATTAAGTAAACCTTTACAGGTTGGTCTGCAAATCTGAAATTCTTCAAAACTGAACAAAACGTGAATTTGGAAAACCGTGAAAAAACAATTTTGATTCGAAAACTGGGATTTTTTGTTATTTTCAATTTTATCGCCAACGTTTAACATACATCATCGTATTCAGTAGAATACATTATTCGACTCGATGCATGATAGTGGCGAGTGGTAAAAACGAAGTAGTAAGAAGAATGCCTTATTGTATTGTTTAGGACTGCGAAGTCCTTGCAGTCCCTCGACTAGGTTAGCAAGTAGCAGCACGGACCTCTCCTGTATGGTTGTCTGTGGGTAGCACGTGCATGGGCGTGACAGTCGCGGAACAATGGTCTCAGTTGCTGGGTTCGGTCAGCATTGCGCCTCTTTGATCACATCGTCGGAATGCGTTAGCTGCGTGCCCGATCGAAATGCCCCTGAAGTTGTCATCTCCGTGCTACACAGAGGGAACTTCACCCTATTTCTTATGAGAGTGCAGGCGAAGCTATCTTTGCGTTACCCGGAAATTAAGAGCGACGGTGTTCGAATTGGCAGGAAGCACGAAGAAAATGTACATTCCAAGTCAAATGCATCATAAGAGGGTTGCGCGTCAGTAAATACACCCTTCTCTCACCATTTGGGAACTAGTGAAATTCAAATATCTTGCCACACTGTGTTATTCTGTTCCCGGTGAGTGCAAGTGTAGAATAATATTCGGAATCTCCGAGTGTGTCCAACTGTATGCATTTCAGGAGTTTCTGACACATTGGAATGTGTAATAAAGATTTTTGAGTATATATTGAATACAAAAGTGATATCGAACATACGATTTAAACACAAAGCAATTACATATCAATGAGCTCATGAACGTATATATCTCTAGGTTGTACCTGATCCAAGTTCAGTGTTCTGTACGGACTTCCCATTAATACGAAACTGATACAACTCCAGTGGAAAACCCTTGCCTAGAGAACGATAGGAAATCTAGGTTCAAGCGTAAAAGCACAGCTGAAAAAACAGAAAATAGTTTGCCTGCTAAAACTGTTGTGCAGCATGGTTCAGCAGGAACTTAGTCTGCAACTGCAGGAACTTTCAGTCGAAGTGGAAACGAGATATCACTTTGTACAACAATAATATTCAAAACAATAAATATACCCGTAATATAAAAATCTTGTACATTTTGATTTTTTCAGTAATGCACATTACATATTGAGATCGTACTTTTTTCGGGAAGTGTATTTTCTAGGCGGTATCAATGATGGCAACTATAAGGAATATGTGAAATTTTAAGTATTTGATTTGATGTCAGAAATACAGTAATTGAGACGCATCTTCGGTATGGTTTTCTGACCTACCAATCATTAGTAATAGTCTCTAATATCTCTCTACTAAAATTGTGAATTAGCTTTTAAACAATAAATACACGCATGTGTTGTGTGTATTAGAATGCCGACAATAACGGCAAGGATACATAAATATTACATTTTGGAAATGCTTTCAAGTTTCGAAACGGAATGTCACGTTTCACTGAGACTGCAACTTCAAGAATGTAGGGGTTGAAAACTTTGTTGAAACACTGCGTAATCTAAAGCGTGGGAATTTGGAGCTAGCTGTCCCGTAGCGTATGAAACGGTCATGTAAATTACAATAGTAAAATTTATTATTATTACTATTATTCAGTCTGATACTAAAGCCTCGTCAGACGATAACCATGCTATGGCGTTCTAGCAGTACGGCCATGGGCTTTGGAGATTGGCAACCAGGTCCCAATCCTTACACTATCTGTTGACATCCTTACCTGTGAGAAACTTTCACTTTGTATACAAGTTTCCTATATTAATTGGGATATGACTGAATAGCGACAATTTTTTGTGCCATCTGGAAATCGAATCTGGGATTGCGGCATGGGAAGCTAGCTCGCTAATAATGTGCCATCAAAGATTATTATTATTATTATTATTATTATTATTATTATTATTACATTCGTATCGGCCATTTATGACTACACTAACGATATCTTCCAATGCCCAGTAGTATATATCTTGGCGAGATTACCATTTGTCATTATGGGAATTCGCTTTTTAGTTGTATCCCCCAGTATGACAAGGTTGTTACGCCTTGAATCATAAATTATGAGGTGATAGAGTGATGTAGGGTGAAGGGACAATCACAAATAAGACCATTCCTCTGCACGACTCGAACCTGCAGCATCTTCGGCGCAG